CAGAGGGGCTGTAACTCCAGGGCAGAGGGGCTGTAACCCCAGGACAGAGGGGCTGTAACCCCAGGGCAGAGGGGCTGTAACTCCAGGACAGAGGGGCTGTAAGCCCAGGGCAGAGGGGCTGTAAGCCCAGGGCAGAGGGGCTGTAACTCCAGGGCAGAGGCTGTAAGCCCAGGGCAGAGGGGCTGTGTCCAGGGCAGAGGGGCCCCGTCCCCCACCCCCAGGTGCTGACACTCACAGGCCTGTCGCTGCCCTGCCCCCACCCCACAGCTATTTTCCATCTGTTATCAGCCTTGTCACGAGCCACCTCGAGTTTCAGGGCCCCGAGTGTCCCTGCCAGGGCCCCAAGGCCCTGCCCACACAACAGACTGCGGACACCTCAGCACTGCCCTCCTTACCACCCTCCCACTGTCCCTCTGGGCAAACCCACAGGGTCACTGAGGTCAGGGCCTCCAGAGGCAGCTTCTTATCTGGGGACATGACCTCAGCATGGAGCCTGGGACCCTTAGGACAGGGCCTGGTCAGGGCAGGGTCTGGAGGAGGCCGCCAGGGACAGGGGACAGTAGGGGTCACCCACCACTGTCCACTCTGGCCAGACCTCCAGGATGGCCAAGTCACGCATAGTCACGGGGGGCAGGAGGTCGAGGAGTCTCAGCCCTCCCCCAAATGCCCTCCCACTTCACAGGGGTGAACTGAGGCACAGAGAGGTTGAGAGACCCGCCCAAAGCCACACAGCTGGACATGGGCTCAGACGTGGGCTGGAATGAGTGGCACAGAGGGGTATCATGACCTCTCCATGGCCCCAGGGGCACCCCACCTTCTGCCGGTCCCTTCACCCCCTCTGAGGCCACACCCCACAAGCTTCCTATCCTGCCCAGGGTGGAAACTGAGCCGCAAAACATCTCAGGATGGCACAGTACCATGTGTGGCACCCTGGCAGTGCTGGCACACAGAGGTCAGCACAAGGTCTCCCTGGGCCTGCAGGTCTCACCCCTGGGTCCCAGGGCGGTCGGGGTTGCACTGTGGTCATCAGACTGCCAGGCCTTTCTTCTGAGCTGCCCCTGCATGGACTCCTACCACCACCTGCCACTAGCAGTCGGCCTCTGCACCTCTGGCTGGCCCTGTTCCCTGGGGATCCTGTGGACGGGGGCTGCCCACACCATCCCTCACTTCCCCCCGCCCCGCCCCTGGCCACCAGCATCTGCTCCACCCCTGTTGGCAATAGGACCCCTGATCCTGTGACCGGAGGAGCCTGGCCCCTTGGACATGCCTGGGCTCTCTCCATGGTGAGCAGATGTGGGGAGCAGGGCTGTTGTCTGCTGGGTTTTTCCCTGCCGGGGGAGTGGCACCCCTTTATATCCCAGCGGGCCCGCGGGGAGCCCCCGCTCCTTGAGGGCCTGGAGGAGTGCCCAGACCCCGCGCAGGCCCTCACCCTCGCAGCACCGGCCATAGGAGGCCCAGCAGGCAGTGGGCAGCCTCTATCTGCAGGGGCCGCAGAGGCGTGAGGCGGCTGCGTGATGGATCAACCAGCTCCCCCTCCTCTCAGGACCATGTGCCAGGAAATGAAGACCCTGGAGCGCCCCCTGAGCCCCAACTGCCCACCAGAGATGCGGCGCCGGGCCAAGAGAGACCGCGAGACCAGCACCAGCATGCCAGGGCTCAGGCCTGAGCAGGTAAGGCTGCCAGACCAGGCCACACGACTGAAGCCCATGGGCTGTGTAGACAGAAACGACCCTTGGCTGCCTGGTCCTTAAGGGCCTCCCCACGCGCCCACCCCCGGCCACCCTTGGCATCCCCGCACTTGTAGCCAGGTCCTCACAGGGAATCTGTCCTCCCCAGTGCGTGTGTGCGTGCGTGGGTGTGTGCCTGAGTAGGTACATGTGTGAGCGTGCGCAGTGTGTATGATGGATGTGAGTGTGCCTGTGTGCATGCATGTGTCTATGTGTGCACGTGCGTTGCATGTGTGAGCATGTGTGCATGCAAATATGTGCATGCATGTGTCTATGTGTGCACGTGCGTTGCATGTGTGAGCGTGTGTGCACTTTGTATGCATGTGTTCATGTGCATTCATGTGAGTGTGTGTGCACTGTGTGGATGTGGGGGGGTGTACTGGGTGTCCATGTGTGTATGTGTGTGCTGTTTGTGCAGGTGTATATGTGTGTGTGTGTGTGGTGTGTGGTGAACATGTGCGTGCATGTGGGGGGTCATGGTGTGTGGTGTATATGTATGTGTGTGTGCATGTGTAGTGTGTATGTATGTGTGTGATGTGTGCTTGTGTGTAAACATGAGCCCTGCTATTTTCATAAGACCATCAGGAGGGACTGGGCACTGGGCATACACACGCACACACACCCCAGCTGGCGTGACCTCACAGGAGGCAGGACACTGCTCTCCAGCCCAGGGTTAGGGTGCCCACAGCTGGGAAATTCAGTCTCATTAGGCCCTGAATTTTTGCCCCCTCCCCACATACCTTGCCAGCCTGTCACTCTATCCCACAGGTCTGGCCCCACATCATCCACAGTCCCTGGGGCCCTCCTGGGCAGGAGGTGGGGCTGGGGTGGGGCTGCAGGAGAGGCTGCCCCTCATCTGGTCCCCACGGCACCCTGGAGGGACAGGAAGGCTCTGAGAGGGTGACCAAGGCCAGCGCTGGTGCCCAGAGTCCCACCACGCCCACACATTCTCGTGGTGCCCCACCCCCAACACGTATACACACACACACACACACACACACACACACACACACACACACACACTCAGTGCACCACTGCATCACCAAGAAGGAACTAGGGCTGGCCCCCTCCTGCGTGGTGTGGCCTCACTGCCCAGCTGGTGCTGTCCACTCCATCCTGGCTCATGTAGCCACACGGTGCAAAGCAGGCCTGAGCAGGCCCTGCCTGTGGCCTCTGTCAGCAGGCTGCCAGCCCTCTCTCCCGCAGCCGGCGGGCTCACTCAGCCAACCTTCCCACCAGCAGGCTCAGGGGCTCCAGGCAGCCAAGGCCTGAGGTTCCCAAAGCCCCTGCAGAGGTGTCCTGGGGGCAGATTCAACCCGACTACGGGGTCTGGGCTGTGAGAGGTTCACCCACCTGTGTCTCCCTCCACCCACCCCAGGAAAGTCGCCGGGCACTGCCACCCTCCATCCTGAGACGCAGCCAGCCAGAGGCCAGCAGCAGTGCCAAGGGGCCCCGAAGGGGGAGGAAGCGTGTGAGGTTCCGAGAGCCCCCGGAGGCCGCTGTCCACTGTGAGGGGCACCTGAGGGGGAGGGGCAGGGGTGTGGCCGCCTCGGGGTGGGGTGGGGTGCAGGCCAGCTGAGGTGGCTGAGGCTGGGCCTGGCCTTGGGAGGGGGGTGGGGCAGGGGGGCACTGGGTGACCCAGGGGGCCTCACACTCCCCTTGTCCGGGGCCCAGCCCTGTCCCCGCCCCCACCCCCACCCCCGCCCACATACACAGCGCACTCTCTAAAAGCCCCAACAGATTGGAGCCCACAGGGACCTGCCCAGGGAGCAGGGAAGGGCAGGTGGGCTCTAATACCAGCCTTGTTGCTTCAGCCAGCAACATCCGGGCCACTCTGTGTCCTGTCCAGCTGGCCACTGGCCACCCTCCAGGACCCACGGCCCAGATTGACTCTGACAAGGCCCCACCCCTTCCCCAGGGATGGCAGGTGTCCTTCAGATAGACCAAAGCCAAGGTGGGGCCTGGGGATGGGGGGCAGTCATCTGTGCCCCAGAAGCTGGCCCTCTCTGACCCCCTCCTCTGCTCTCACCCCAGGTGTCCCCTGCAGGGACCTTCCCGCCACCACCAGGGGTAAGTTCTGAGTTCCCTTTCCCCAAGGCCTGGCCCCAGGGGTCACACACAGGGACCTGCTTGGGCAGCACTGTGTGGAGGCTGGGGCCAGTGAGATGGAATGAAGTGGGCGGTGTCCTTCCCCAGTGGAGGGGACAGCCTGCCATTTGTCCATGACCCTGTCTGCCCTGCCCCCACATGCCCAGTGCCAGCCCGGCCCATGCGGCCCACCCCCCGCGGTGGCAGCTCCCTGCTCCTGTGGCTGGCCCTGTGTGTCCTGCTCGCCGTGGCCCTGGGCCTGTGCTGTGGCCACACCAAGCCCGTGGCACTGGCTCTGCAGGACCTCCGGGCCCGGGCCGTGGTCCTCGCCCTGCGCCTGCAGCACGCAGCCTCCACCTGCTGGCAACGCCTCCTGCAGCTCTGAGAGACGGACAGACAGAAGGATGGTGAGATGGAGGGACCCACACACTCAGGGCCTGTGACACCCTTAATGACGTGAGCCCCCAGACTCAGGGGGCGCTCATGTCCTGTGGCCAGGACACCACAGGGGGAGAGGCCCTCTCCCCCATGGAGTCGGCAGCTCTGAGAGATCTGGGTGGACAAGACCCACTACTAAAGCCCCTCACCCCAACTGGAACACTAGGTGTCCCCTGGCCTGTCACCACTGTGGGAGACCCCTGTCCGTGTCTGTGGACAGCCAGGGAAAGGGAGACCCCATAAACCCCTCAGGACCAATAGTGAGATTATCAATACCAGGAGGGGAAGGGGAAGGCAGGGGAGAAAGGGGAACCAATCACAATAATCTACATATAATCCTCTTCCTGGGGGCAAACAACAGAAAAGTGGGTGAAGGGAGACATTGGACAGTGTAAGGCATGAAAAAATAATAATAATGTATAAATTATCAAGGGTTTGTGAGGGAGGGAGGGTGGGGAGAGGAGGGAGAAAAATGAGGAGCTGATACTAAGAACTCAAGTAGAAAGAAAATGTTTTGAGAATGATGATGACAACAAATGTCCAATGTGCTTGACACAATGGATGGATGGATGGATGGATTGTGATAAGAGTTCTTTGAGCCCCAGTGATATGATTTTTTTTAAAGAACTGTAAATATTTATGCAATACAATGCAATTAAGTCCATGTTTTAAAAGTCAGCAGTGCATATTAATGATCAGTGGAAGAGATGTCTAGTGTTCTGCTACAAAATTAATTAGCTTCTGAAATAAAATACGCGGAAAATTGAAAAGAAAGAAAGGGAGGCCCCCCCCCAACCAGCCCAGGACCCCAGTTCCAGGAGCGAGACCTGGTCCCCACACAGAGCCTGCCTAGGCAGAGCTGCCGGGGGCTCTGGGCTCCAGGCTGGCTAGTGACTCAAGGGCCACTGAGACCCCACCCTCTGACCACTGAGACCTCACTCTTTGACCACCCTCTGACCACCAACAGCCCACCCTTGGCCACAGCCCCAAACCCCGTCTGTGGGAAGACCAACTGCCTATTAAAGCTGTGGCCAGTCAGTCTGAAGTTCCTACAGCAGAAGGAACTTCTGCTGGTCTTCCTGACCCCACGGGCCTGGGCGGGGGCGGGGGGGTGGGGGGGAGGCTTCAGGTACTCCTACAGCTTTGGAAGTCGGGGATCCCCAGAGGAGAGGGTCTGTGTCCAGGATCAGTGCCCCTGGGTCATGGCAGGGGTTAGCATAGCATCCTCTACAGGGTCACGGCCTTCCACACTGGCCGGCCAAGCAGTGGACAGGGATGGAGAGGCGCCAACAGGGGTGGTCACCGTTCAGCCTAGCTCTGTCTCCAGAGGCTCATGGTTCCTTCTGGGGACACCTGTCCTCAGGGGCCCCCTCCTGGGCCAGGGCCCTCGGACTAGTGCTGCTTCGGCAGAAACAGCCCAGGGGGCGCGGGGGTGGGGGGCTGCTGGACAGACAACCCTTCTCCCCCACTTAGGGAAAGAGGAACACAATATGTGGTGGGGTGGGCGCTCTCTGGTCAGGTTCCTGCCCCAGCTCCCTCCCCGGGTGTCCCAGCTTCCTCCCCGGGTGTCCCAGCTCCCTCCCC